ATTGCTTTTTGTCACATGTTTACAATAAACAAGTTCTGTTGATAATATCTAAAAATTTAAGGAAACAAAACAAGTGCATTCAAATGAAAATTCCAAACAGTTGGTAAATAAAATTATTAGTGACAATAATGAACATACATACTAATATATGTTGTCATTTTGGTAATACATCTTATAAACTTTTTATACATTTTGTTTGAAAGATTTTTACGGTTTGAATGCAAACGATAAAAGTAGATTACATTCAAACCGTAAAAATCGATAAAAGAAAATGTTTTATGTTATTGAGTAATATGTACGTTTACTATAATTTTTTATCATGTAGAAATATTTAGATATACATTTCTAGATAAAAACTCAAAATTGAAAAATTATAAGTCTTTCTTCCAAAAGACTCATTTAATACAAAACAACGATAGAATAAATTATATTTCCAATAATAAATACCTAATGGCTAAAAGTTAAAATCATATACACGAAAAAATAAAATGATAAAATTTCAAATTTGATTTATTACTAATGTAAGTAATTAGTATGATTAAACGAAAGTAAAATAAAATGCACCAAATTGTCTATAATGTAGCCGATAAAGATTTGTAAGTATTCATTTTATTAATTATTTTTAAAACTATTGAATTATGTATCTATACTTTTTTCATGTTTTCATGTTTAATCGTTTAGTAATTGAATTAAAAAAAAAAAAAAAATCAATACCTTAGAAACCTGAATATATTGAAAATACAAACACTTAAAAAAAGTAGTTAATTATGCATTTTGTATATAAAACAGGGAACAGGAAAAATATTTTAATTGGATGTATTATAATTTGTACATATATATTCATTGAATGAGCATTATAAATAACTGCTTTTAAATGGGTTTAGACGTTTTGTCTGTAAAACATAAAAATGTCAATTAAAAATTATGTCCGTTATAAACAAGTTTCAATACCCTAGCCATCAGAATATCTCGACTATATCATTATGTTTTTTCGAAAACTATTATATAAATTTAAACAAGTAATTTGTTTCATGCATTTGTTAGTGTTAATATCGGCGTTGTACCTACTAGTGTAGTAGTAATTATTTAAAAAACCACAGATCTGTACATACGAGTAATATACATGTTCAAAGAAAACCAATTTATGATATAGTTTGTGCTCCTATCCAAAACCAATATTAATTGCATTATAGTGGTGTCTGTTTATACAGTGTAATATGTCTAATAAATATTTAAATACGATTTGGGTAACAGGGTAACATTTAACGAGTTGTGAAATGTTTATTATGTACATTATAAAATCTTAATTCATAAAAGAAGAATGCTTTTTTGTAACTTTTTTTTTATTGTGTCAAGTATATGAAGTAAATATCTACGCATGAATGTCAGTAATTAAAAACGAGGCTTTAGACCAGTAGTTTTCAACTTTTTTAACAATGCAGCACACTTCATCTCCAACAAAGTTTTCGCGGCACACTAATCCATGTATAATGTGAACCATATTTTATATATATATACTGTTTACAGTCTACTCTATTAGAGGGTTATTTATTAAGAAATATATTAATACAATCGATTGATCGAGACGGCTGCGACGGGCATATTTACAATAAATAATATTATATGTACCTATCTACGATTAGTTCAATCAGTTTTCATCTCGAATATCAGTAATAAGCTAGTAAATACATACTTATAAAACAATTTATAGATTTATCGTGGCACATTTAAAGGGCGCTCGCGGCACACCAGTTGGGAACCACTGCTTTAGACAATGAATTTAAAATTAAAACTATTTCGAAACGTCAAGTTGATTTTAATTTTTTTGGATAACGAATTTTATTTATTTTTATTACAAACTTTTCAATACATTTGTAACTATATCGTGTAAATGAACTTAATGAGTCAATTTCAAGTTCATCGATAGAAAGGGTGGTATAATAAAGTTAAACGATGCAGACTAAATATAATTGATTGTTTTTATTAGTTTTAGAAATATAAACATGTATATTTTATAGATGGTTTATCGTATAAAATATATAATTTCTATTGTAAGTGGTTGGTAGTTGATAAGTATGAATTTGGTGTAATTTTTGACACATAATATACCAATATTGGAATCGTTATTTAGTTTATTTTCGAATTTGTTTTTATTTCATTCACATATTACCTTTATTTGTACTACAAATTATATAATACTATCGCGACAGTTGGCTGTAAAATATCCTATATTAGTATACAAATTGAGAGAGAAAATTTAAATTTCGAAAACTTGATGAATCTACATTTCACATGAAAAATAGCGATATCGTTAGTAGTGTAATGTCTAATATCCTTGGTTTTTTTTTTTATTTAAAGAATAGAAATATTTTTGAGAAAAGGAAAACCATGTATAAATTCCTTGAGATATCCCCAAGTAATGCATCGCAGTCGGACACATTACCTTGTGTCCCCGGGGATCAGAATGTTTATATCGAGAGGGAGGGCTTATAAGCTCGTGCGAGACTAAAAGGCCACTAAGAGAATGACTGTGATTGAAACCCGGTAAAATTGAAATCTCGAATCACACTGATTGCAAAACATGTTCAAGAAAAAACGACTTTCCACTCACCTAACTACCTTTACGTGTGAGTTGATTCAGATAATTTAAAGAGTCAAAACGAAATGTCCATGATAACACAGTATCTTTTGATATAAATGTGAAAATGGAATCTTTGTCACGCACGGTCTCTGAAACTACTCATCCGATTACCTTGACTTTTTTCTTATTTTTTTTAACGGGAGAGTACATCACGAAGCAGGTTTTAAACTTAATTTCAATTCTATAAGTTAATAGAGTAATAATTTATTTTTAACCATTTATTTTTCAATAGCTTACGGCGCAACGTGGTAAAAAAAACACAGAAATGTGCTCTCTTCTTCACCCGTCGTCGACTAACATCGTCGCTATATCGATACATATATCGATATATATATAGGTCGTAATAGGTGATAGGTGGTAACGTTCTTTTGGTCAGGTATAAATTTAGTCCGATAAAATAATTAGATAAGAACACGTACAAGTGCGTACGTCATAATAGGAAATATTAATTCAAAATATAATTATTGCCGTGCGTTAAAATGGTCGAAGAAACTTTAGGTCTTTGCTGTTCTGGAGGGAAAATTTTTTTTTTTGGAAAACATTCCAGATTCAATCTACCTGATCCATTAAAAAGTCTCTTAGATCGTTATCATCAAAATTCAAAATATTTTTTCAACACGATTTGTGTGTATAATTTTTCTCTTCAGACGACATCGTTTGGCGCAATATAAATTAGTCGTGGACAATTTATGCCGACATTTAAAATTCAGGGTCAAGTTTACCATATGGCCGGGTCTCTATTATTCAGTAATTCAGAAGAACTAAAGTTTATACAAATATATTTCACGTGCGACTAAGAGAATGAAGTAAAAATGTGTTGTGTGTTGCTCCTAATACCGATAAACAAATATTGTATGATTTATAATGGTATTTATAAAACGACGATTATAATTTATTTTTTTACTTGCCTATAGTAACCTAGTCTAACATGAAAGTAAGCATTTATTTTTACTGGCGAAGCTGTGTTATTCAGCTAGTGTTATAAATGCATTATTTGTACAGCATAAGTACATAAATACAATAATTAATAAATTACAGAAGGGAAAAATATGACAATAGTTAGGGTCATCGGTTACCTATAGAAGACTTAGAATTGGTTAAAACTTTCATGGACCGATTACACAAAAAAATGTGTTTCCTGAGTCACATAGGTGACCGCGTATTTTGCTCTCTGAAAATGGAACGCACGATGTGTCTGAAATGTCATCACGAAAAGTACATTGCTGATAACATTGATATGAAAAATGAAATGTTAATTTCGAAAGTTATTTTACCGTATTCAAATGCATCACGAAAACTCCGCCACTAAACAACTTTATTTTTTTATTTACATAACAAATATTCGTGTTACGTCGCGATCGAGTAGTACGTACGCGTAGTTTAATGATAAAATTGTTTTTTCTTCTACGCCATATTTATGCTTGTGTAATAACCGACCGTATAATTACGAAACATTAATCTTACCGTGCGCTACATTTTTTTCCTCCCCGTTTGTAACCGAAAGTAAAATGTAATACTTAATAATGATATTAGTAGCAGCAGAACGTGTTGGTGGGTATTCTCTGATCAAAGTCGAATAGTTTTATTAACACCACTATTAACACTTATTATATTAAGTGCATGTGTAATACCCCCGGATAAAACCATTTCGGCTACGCCACCGGCGTAAATAAACTAACATACTGGCCATGTTAGTCAGGTCCAAACAAAGACAAACCGACTGTGTAATATTATTATGATGGCAACATTTGCTAAGCGGATAAAGTACTTACAGCGCGCATGGACTAAGGAAAGTTATAAATCACAAAAGAAACGTATTTTCTCCTTCTACTCAATGGACAGAAAGAAACAAAACGATGATAAACATCTTTCGAGCACTATTGTGTAACATGACAATAATAAAACAGCAGTCCGACGGCGGATTATATTTACACAGTCGATCTTTACGCGAAAATCGATTTGATTGTTTGTCGCAGCCACGGTCGCTTCCTATATCCAGGGCCGGATTTAGAATTTGTAGGCCCCTAAGCTCAATTGTGGTGTGGGCCCTACCAGAAAGTTTTTAGAAAATAGAAAGGGCATACACACAAATAGATAAACTAAGTCATCTTTAAAACATTTTCAAATAATTTTCTACCCAAAATCGAGGGTAGTGCAACTTTCTAAATTCTAGTTTTTTGACCGAAAATATTAACATTTAAAATATAGTATATTAAAGTGTGGATTCAATTACCACATAGTAGTTAAAAAGGTATTCAACGCTCTTTATTAATATTACGACGGTAGTAAATAGTAATTAAATTCACAACATAATAATTATAATACAGCTTAATAAATAATAAAAATTTAATTTAAAGGTTTAAATTTTAATTAGTTTACGTCTTAACTTTGTATTAATGAAATCACTTATAATATCTTCATAATTGATTTGTCTTAAAGTGTCACTCTCAATGCTAAGTAGAGCTAACGTGTTGAGCTTTTCTTCTGTCATAGATGTTCGGAGACGGTTTTTGATCAACTTTAATTTTGAAAAAGATCTTTCTCCGCTGCTGTTGGAGACCATAGTGACAGGTACATTCTTAAAGCTACCTCAATATTAGAAAAACAATCTTTTACATTTTTTTCGATTAGAAGCTGGTACATCCATATTTCCCGATATATAACTATCATTTTTTTCCACCATCATCTTTTAGAAACTCGTGGTAAAAAGCCTTGAATTGAATCAATTCATTTCCTAATTGATCGTCCAAGTCATTATCATATAATTTTACTAAATTTTGAGCTGCTTTAATTATCTTTTTATCATCAAGTATATCTAACTTATAAAGAAACCCAAAACGGTTATCAACTAGTTCATATGGCTCAAGCCTTTGCTGCAATGAAGATTCAAGTTGATCAGGGAGAAAATTCTGAATTTGAAATTTGTTTGAAGAGTTCACCTCAATTTCTGGTGGTTGGACACTTTCAAGAGGGGACAAACGCACATTTATTTTACGTTTACGCTGTGTTTCACTGTCGTACTCAACAAAATCATCCAACTCTGCAACTTTCACAAAATATCCTTCAAAGCTATCTCGTGTTGTTCCTATAAAGCTTCTTGGCGATTTCAATGTTAAAACAGCTGTGTTCACATCTAATCTAAGATTCTGTTAAGTTTCACTAGTTTTGTTTACTTGTCCCAAGATATCATTCCAAAATACCGCATAAAGGCCTGTCTGTATCTTTAACATTTTGTTATATAAACTTAAAGCAACAATACGCGATTTTCCTAATTCTTCTTTATTCTCAGAAATTTCTAAAAGTGCATTTTTTATTTTTTTATAACCACGTAAGAGGGCTTTTGTAGCATATGATCTGCATGACCAACGTGTTGTTTTTGTCCTTTTTGGTATAAGAATTGGGTTTTCAGTTTCTGCTCTTTTTAAACAATTTGTAAGAACTTTATACCTGTTAGTCGAGGCAGTGAAATATACATAAAGTACTTCTAAAAAGTCAAAAAAGCTCACAGCACTCAGCAGCAGCTTGCACTACGAGATTGAGTGAGTTCCCTGCGCAAGGTACCCATAATGCCAAGTTATTTTCTGTCAGTACTAACGCTTGAAGGCCATTATACTTTCCACTCATTGAAGAAGCATTGTCGTATGACTGACCACGACAGTTCTTTATGTCCAAGTTATTTTCTTTTAAAAATGTGTCTAAGCCTTTAAACATATCCTTTGCTTTGTGGCCTTGGTTAGGCATGAATACCACAAATCTTTCAACAGGAATGTTTTCTTCTAAATACCTGAAAATCAAAGTAAGTTGATCAACGTGACCTTCGTCTGAAGTTGAGTCCAATTATATGGAATAGTATTTTGAGTGTTTGATTCGAGAAATAATTACCTGCAGGCAGACGGCAAATTATATAGACAATTCTTTATAAACAGCGTCCAGCGATCAAAGTTGCAAATGACGATATTGTCATAAATGATAATAATATAATAATTTCGCCCATAGACGTGTTTACGTACGAGTCGTTAATGTCAATGATGAAACAAGAAACGGTTCGGTTGGGGAACGAATTAATAACAGCAAAAAAAAAAAAAAACTAAACCTTATCGAGCGATAATCAGAGTCTATTGATAACTTACGCACTATTGCCGATTGCATTACGAAAATGGTGTTTGCATCTCGTACCGACGCGCGACGTGGTGTTGGGAAATTCCCATTATATATGTACACACAACAGTCTACATTATATAGTATATATTTTATTACACAACACCAATTTTAGAAAACTGAAAAATAATGAAAAATATTTAGACGGAGCTTTTTTTTTTTAGTTGTATGATGATGTGGTGAGGGCCCTGTTGTGGTGCGGACTCACAGGCTACAGCCTATATAGCCTACGCTTAAATCCGGCCCTGCCTACATCGATACGTGTTTTCGAGTTAAAAAAAATTTGTCAACTGCCTAATTATAAAGCGTACCATGTAATCGAAAGAAGAAATGAAATTCCAATAAAATTGAACGGGTACAGTGTTCACGGTGATCGATCGGTAACAGTAAAAGAAAAGCGTCTGAAGAAAAATATCAGCTCCGTGAACAAGCTCGGTGCAGAACAGGCACGTTGGACGATATCGCATGCTTGGGCTCGGCTCAAATGTTTACTTCCGCCTAGGCAAACTAAACTTTTGCCGCCCCTTACATGTAAATACTACATTAAATATTTTTTTGCATAAGCAATACTAAAATACACTTTATTCTGAAATAATTATATTTATTTATGTAAAGTTAACAATTGATTAGATCAACACATTTGTAGATAAGTAAACTACTACTAATTTAAATAAAACAAAAAAATGTTTAGTCTTATTTTTTACTACTAGGAATTGTAATATTTTTTTTAAAAATGTTAAATGCCGCCCTGGGACCTGTATTGCCCACACCTTGAGCCAGGTCTACGCATGCCCAGTGGCGTGATGTACGTTTATGGGCCATAACACGCAGCACATATATTTTACACGTATTTCAGTAACCACCCGCCCACATTTTTCTCTGGCACACCGTCCACGACAGTTTTTCAAAAAGATGTAAACCGAAAAAATCTAAATAACACTGGAGTACCAACGTACGCTTACGTTTCATCGACTCGAACCGAGCGTCCAGTAAGTTCTAAGAGGTTTTTCTGCTTTTCAATCGACCGAAAACGTAGAACGCTTTGTACTTTGTTCCACTGCGTTCGCGTTTCGCGTCGGCGCAAACGCGGTGAAACTCGGAAATCGGCCGAGATCTTCGCATATCCGACCGCGCGCCCGCTTGCCGTGGGGATTGTCGTCGTGACGTCCGGGCATCTCGAAAACCCGTTCAACTCGTCGCTGCGGGTGATGACCACGTAACGTTTGCGTGGACCCGACACGGTACCGTCTCAGAGGCGCAACTAGGGGGGGCGCAATAGGGTTTTTAGCATCCTTGAGTTTAAATGTAGCACTTCTGTTTTTTTCCAGGGCTATATAATCTATAGTAATTACAGTTAAATACCATTTAATTTTATTTTAAACAATTTCAGATATTTGGGTTCTAGTTGCGCCCACGCACCGTCCGTTTTCATCGTCCCACGCGCTCCCCAAAAGCGCGCCCGTCGCCGTCGCCCGGGCCGATCGCGTGGCACTTTACGGCTGAATGAATTGAAACACCGCGGCACACGATGACGTGCAGACAAGCCATCGCAGGGCGCGCGGGTCGGCGTGGCGGACGCAATGCCGACGGGGCTGCTGTTGAAGATCTTTGCGATTCGTACACGTGCCATTAAACTCCGATTGCCGGTTATCGTGTTACTGACGAGGGACGGGACGGAACGCCGAATGGCTACAATTATAACCGTAATTATTATGACGATATCGCCGCGTCTGCTTCTCCCCCAACGACAAGCTTCTCAACTCTGCGTAACTGCATATTATGTGGAAAACGAGTTGACCGCTTTTATAGAATGAAAACGGATGAAAAAAAAACATACCTACCGTTCGACCGTGATAATTACCATCGTAACGCGTGTTCCCAACGGGTTCGAAAACGAATGTTCTCAAACGTGCGTGTCAGCGGGTTCGTTGCCGAAAGCGTATCGCAATTATCGTACTGCGGTGGCGCACGTCACACACTGCTTGACGACTTCAAAGTCGTCTGTAACGCGCGCGATGACGTGAAACGTGGATCACGCTAATATCACCAAAACATGCCGCTGAGATAATTGCGATATGTACAACCGTATACCGAACCCACGGTTTGCGACCGAAAACCGGAAACCTAGGATATCTGTAATTACCAGTACACGTCACAAGCGTGGATCCAAGGAGAGTCATAGGGGTCCAATCCCCTCCCTCTCATCAGGATTATATGTTTATTTAAAAATTAATTTACTTGTTACGTTTTTTTTTAATTTTTCAGATTTTTTTTTTCAATAAAAATGTTATGTAACATGTATTACCTACATTTTAACTTTATTATCACTTCAACAAATCATAATTTACAATAAACTTATATTGTTAAATAAAATAAAACGATTATAAACTGATTTACAGTAATATTGTTTGCGAGTGTATATAAATATAATAATAATTAAGAAATTCTTACTAAGAATTAACAATAATTAATAAATTTCTAATTTTAATTAATAATTTACTTAGAATAATTTTTAATTTCGTATTATATCTTTGGTTTTTTCGAAAAAATGATCCCTCCTCTCAATAATATCCGCCCCTGACACTTAATCTAAACAATACTATAATACATCGTTAAATTTATGGTACAGGATTGGCCTCGCATGAAATACATTGTACACAACTCAACGTCATGCTGTTTCAGGAGAAATAATACTAATACTAAATGCGGAAAAATACATTTAACATAATATTGTTACGCATAGTGGAATATCCATTAGACCGAATTTTCTTGGTAACAAATATTTTTGTAGGACCACGAAATCCTCATCAAAATACATTTACGTTTAACGAGAGTTGATTTTACATTATTATTCTACAATCAATTTTAAGTTTTTGGCGTTTGTCATACAGTATACACTCGTAATATAATACCTTAAGTAAAATATGTAACGATTTACGGACGGTCATAAATCGTATTAATTTAATGTAAAACTGCTTCAATGCTTCCTGAATCAAAATTATTAAATATTTTTCTTGATTATATATTAAAATTAAATGTACAATTTCACACAGATTAACTATTAACATGAATAGTAAATTAATGGTTTTTAATAAACTTTATTATACTATTAAACTTTATACTTGTATAAATACAAATAAATTAAAGGCCTAAAGAAAATATTTTAAATAAAATAAATATTTCACACCCCTTCAGTAATATAGCCGTGACCCCCTAAGGGGCCGCAAATCCCAGTTTGAGAAGCACTGATCTAACATACTGTTGTTAATTTTATTCATTACTGCACATAATATCATTAAATTAATTATTATTTTAGGTTATAAATATTTATAGATGGTATTTTTGAAATGAATAATGTTACTAGTATACGTATATTTATTGTGAAAGCCAAAAGAAGATTTTTATTACATTTTTTTTATCTTCAAAATTTTGGTTTATTCAAATAATTAATAGAATATTATCTTAAATGTAAAAATGTTGAAGATAAAGAAAATGTAATATAAATCTTCATTGTGCTATCGCAGTGGATACACATACACTAGTGACCTCATCCATTTTAGAAACACTTTTGTGTTTCACACTTTATGTATATATTATTTGTATGGATTTTGTACAGTTATATAAGTTTTTCAAATGAAAAAAATTGTAATTATTTTTGACGAAATGGCTATTTAACAAATTTTTACGTTAAAGAACCTTCAAGTTTGTCGATAAAAGGGTTGACTGTAAGTATGTTATATACGAATTTATTACTCAGTTTTTCATTTCGCTTTATTGGAATCTAAAAAATATCGTGCGTTTTTATACGTACAATTTTTAATGAAGTTTTAACTCGTCATCACATTGTAATTCCCGTTAAGAATATACGTGTATCATATATAAACGTGTTTTTTTTTACGTCTGAAATGATCTATATTACGTTTGTTTACAATATAATAATTGTGTAAAAGCTCGGTTGAATGTAATAATCGATATAATGCTTCTCACTATCAAGTTTTTACTTCAGAAACATGTTCAAGTTTATCTCTTACCAGTCATTGGCAGAACAATGTAATTAGTACAAATCTCCAATAACTAGATACAATACGCTTCCTCTTTAGCTACTCCAAATATTTCTTCGTTCGAAAAAAGTATGTTTTTCCAATGTGTGTTTGATTCCGTCAATTACAGGGTTTTTAACGTAAATAATACTATCTACAAGATAACTTAAAAACGTAAGATCTGACAAAGTAATTGTACAAAAAATATTGTAAAAAAGTTTTACAAAAAGTAAATTTTTTTCGAGAGAGCTAGAGAAACATCTTTACAGTCCCCGCATAATATTTTTCAAATTTCTTTTAAAATAAACTCATACAAATTCTGAGTTTTATCTTATAAATTCATAAAAATTTCATACTAAATATTAATGCAAAAATGTTTTACAAAATCATTATGGGGAGAGGGGCTGGAGAAAAGTACGTCGTTCATTCTCAATTTTAAAATAAATAATATATGTTTTAAATATTGAGTGTTAATGTATGGATTCATTTTGTGAATGTATATATTACATTTTAATTAAATACTTATTAGTTATTTTTTTTTTTTTTTTATATTAATACTTGTTTTCTTGTCAATATTGCATAATCTCCAGTTTTCAAGAAAACTTAAAATATAACTTTGTTGATTAAGTATGCATAATGTGTGTACTCAATCTACATTTTTCGTTGTTGTCCATAGAACAAAGTGCACAATTCTTAAAGGAGCATCTGTGCTTCAGATCTTTTTCACGAACGAATATTCTTAATTCTATTTAATTATTATTTAATAAGCAATTATGATTAAAAAATTGTCAATGCTAGTGTATATATAACCATTCAGTGGTATGATGAAATATTGTTAACGTTATATAATGCCTACGAGATTTCATGTCTTGAAGGGTTTTAAAGATTTTAAGCGTCCATTGTCGTTTTATCGTTAACTGTCGTTAATCCATTAATTTAATATTTTTTTTATCTTTGTAATGTTTAAGTATAAATCTCTACTGTGCATAATAAGCTATTATGTTTCCAAAACTGGCGAAAATAAAGAAGAAAAACAATAGTTAAGTGCCCATCGTCGCAACTTAGTTAATATGAATCTTTTACACTATTACGGCTATTATTGCCTCAACGACGTTCTAATGGAAGTTTACAATAGCTTCTTTTTTTTTCATTACACATTAACAATTTCATTAGCTGTAACAAATTGCTATTTAAAAAAACCCAAGAACCGTTCATAATAATGCGTGATTATTACATACATTATTTAATATGGTATCTACACGCATTAGAATTTTGGATTCGTACATTCAATCAATTTGTATTAGGCCTACATAATATATTACAATGATTTAATTTATTAATTATTATGTGTATTCCTATAAAATGCGAAATGAAGAGTCGTGTGCTCACTGCAAGTATAGGCTGACATTTATTAGTAATAAAAATGATACTTTTGAATGTAACTTTGGAAAAAAACTTTAACAATACATGATGTTATAAATGCGTGCATAATATGCTCATTATAAGCAAGAGAACACAATTTAATCACAAAATAATTGAAATAATGCAATAGAATTATTCGTTTCGGATAAATTTAAAAATTGTTAGCTTGCTTCTATTTTACACTTGTACAAAGTGTGTTTTAATTCAAACGTGATATTATATTTGTTTTGTTATCATGAATATCAAGTAGCTTTTGATGCTCATTTCTATAAATGTTTCATAACAAATTTTCTTAAACAAAAATAATTCCTTTAGAACTTAAACATGTTAATTGGTATATTAGTATAAGAAATGGTGTTACGACAATAACATATATATAGTCAAAATAAATAAATGTATATATAAATAAACATGTTTAAATAATTTTCTAAATAAGGTATGTTTATGGAGTGACCAATGGTCTATTTAATTACTTCACACTAGGGCCTCGACACCTAGAATGCTGTATAATGGACTTTTAAACATTTTGAACACCATCAGGACTGTAGCAGAATGTCCGTCATGATCGTATTTGGAGCATTCGTGTTGATTAGCAGCGGCGATAGCACAATACAAAACATTTACAAAATAAAGTGTGCAACGATAGCTGATTACGTCTCAAATGCATCGTGAACCTCCCCAGCACATTCATTCAGAATGACCAACCTATTAAACAAGTTTAAGGGCTCGAATTGCCGAATCTTGTTAACGGGAATTCTGTGTGACCGATGCCGTCACTTACTTCGACAGCATGGAGAAAGCCAAGAAAGAAGATTTAGAACAGGTAAAGCAGCAAATGCGATTTCATACCTAAGTACTCGAGATGGTGATGTATTCTGTAAGATAATATTTAAAAATAACTTCGCATGACTAAGCTTAAAATACTTAAAAAACAATAAAGAACAGATTCGATGATTTTTGATTTTAATGTTTAGGGGTTTTCAAAAAAATTCTTTGTATCGGAATATGAAATTTAAAGCTTAAATAAATATTACCAGTAAATAATCTATGAGTATGAATATTCTGAAAAGTATTGTGTTATACTAATGCCAAATTATAGCAAAACTTTAAAGAAAAATCAAGTGAAGATAAAGCTTAACGTACGTATAGAAAGTTTTGTTGAATTTTTTCAATATTTTCAAAACAAAATCTATTTAAAGACTATTCAAGTGTGTATAATATAACCAACTCACTATTTTAAATTTCACAAGCGAACTGTAAAGAATTTGAATGAATTATCATATAAAAATATAGTTAAACTTTCTGTATACTTTCGTATTCTTGTGGTGTTTTGCATACTTCTTGTTTTTGGATTAATTTGTATTCCTTCAGCAATCATGATTTACCGTTTCGACTAATTATAAATGAAGAAAAAAAAAATCAAGAAAATAATTAATTTATAACATTTTGGCTTTTTTTCACACAGAAAACAAAAGTCGGTTACCGATGTATAACCGACCATGGTGCATTCGAAGGCAATCAGTTTAGAGATGCAAAGATTTATTATTATTTTCTTAAGTATATTTATGAAATGAAGACTTTAATTTTTATTTTATACAAACACACACATACACACACACACACATATATATATAATTAGTTTTTACAGAGAAAATTTAAAATAATTATAATAATAATAGTTCTAGAATAATGATAATAATAATTTATAAGAAGACGATTTTTCTTTATGGTATAATAAGAACATGTAACCGAAAATAGGTTTTTCTATTATTTATTTTTTTTTATCAGAAGTAAACACTTTCGTATCCTTTTTCTTTATTTTTGTGCATTTTAATTGAAAACATAATATGTTGTTATATTTGTATTGATATGCAATGTTTATTCATGGTACATACTATTTATTATTTCAAAAATTAAGTCATTATTATGAAGTTATTAAGAAAGTTGTAATTTAAAAACAAAAAAAAAAAAAAAAAAAACACGGAGAAATACTATTATTTAAACAATTTTATATGTTAAGTATAGTATTACTCAATGTTCGGAACGTTCACTTAAAAATATAACATTGATTAAATTAATCGATAACATACAATCACATATGATGATTATTTTTACAATTGTTACTGAATCGGGCAGCATTTCGTTCTTTTTAACCGAAGTTAGTTACGGAAGTTGCTCGAGGATTTTTGCACAATGTGGTATAACAATTTTTGAATCTTTTCGCCGAATACAAATTAAAATGCTATTTTGGTGACGTGCATAGTAAGAGCATCTCGTATTAATTGTGTACCCGCAGACGTGTTCTAATTATAGAGTAATATAGAGAAGGCATTCTATAATCTAGTAGAAGCACAAATTGCCTTTTATCAGGGTGACCACTTTTAAAGACGTAAACAATTATATCGTAGTAAATGCGCTTCAAGATGACTAGATATTATGTATAATTACCATATAAATACAATAATTAAAAAAGAAAAAGAAAGACTGTTGTGGGCAGGTCACGCTTGGAGGAAAAAAGACGCTATGATAAACACAGTAATTAAAGAAGAACCGAAAGGAAAAAGACCAATAGGCAGATCACGCCTCAGAAGGGAAGACTGTGTGAAGAGAGAAGTAAAAGAAGTAGACCCAAGAGCAAACTGGAGAGAAATAGCTAAAAACAGAATAAGGTGGAGGGAAATTTGTTTTACGGGATAGTCTTAAAGGCCGGAAAACCTCCCCAAAAAAAAAAAAAAAAAAAAATACAATAATACTATAACTATTGTATTTTTTAGATTTATTTAATTGAGTATATATATATATATATTATATATATATATATATACTCAATTAAATAAATAATATTATATATATGTATGTTATTTTTAATAAACTTTAAAGTGGTTTGATGCACCACACCTTGGAAGTAAATAAGCGGTTCGTTTAGTATTTCAAACGTTTTGACAAGAATAACACAACGTCTGGTGAAACTGAATTTTAAACACTCGTTGAATTTTCTTTCTTTTTTTCTACGCGAGTCGGCGTAGGACTATAATTATTGTTATTATTTGATAGGTTAAAACCTACAAAAACTAGCCTGGACCGTTGACATGCGCTCGGCGAGCTGCAGGATTAGACCGAAGCTGGACGGCCTTAGCTATGTCAGCATAACATTTGAAACCACGCACGTATGTAATGTTGGGCGTAGGAGTTCGGGGTAGCAGGTTAGAGTACTTCCGCCGCGTCACCGAACGTATCCTGAACATAATATCATATTTTGGCGTACTGTAGAACAAATAATGAAACGCGCGTGTGCAATGCAGGGCATTGACACCACTGATATCAGACCTGATTTCTGGGTTTGGAAACCGGGCGTTATATTTTACTAGTTTTTATATGAGCAATCATCACCAAAGTCCTAAGCCTAAAAACAAAAAGCGCCGCACAATCGCCATGTATTCTAATGGTATTTATTTTCATTGATTCGTCACTTAATTGATCGCTACGTATATACCCCAATCAGTAGTTAAAATCGACAAAGTTAATATACAACAAAAAATAAAAAAAAAATAAAAATATTTATATCCTAGATGATCAGAAAGCAAAAAAAAGTATGCACAAAACTGTTTGGACCCTTAAAAGTACGGTTTTCGTAAAACCCTATTTATTGTTAGAATAACCACTTTGTCGAATCCCAAATTCAATCGTTTTGTCGTTTTTGAGCTATAGCGATCAGTGACAGAGTGATATTTGAATTATATTATATATATTTTTTTTTTATGAGAAACATCTTATGGCGCGGTACGGCCGACTATTGTGGTGGCGATGCATCGGCTCAATTCGCCTCAGAACGGCGATCTCCACGCAATATAACCCACGCAATCGGCAGTCAACAGTCTTCCTCACCGCGATATTAATTTGCGAGCTAAAAGCTGTGTTTTCAGCACAGTATGGAAAATGAAAATGGTACCTCAAATGCACGGTAAAAAACCCATTCGACCGATATATTTTTAGAAAATCCATTCCAATTAAAAGTTAGGTGGTCAACAGTATTGACCACCAAGCCAGAAAGAGTTGATACGTTGCTTTATTTAACACGTTCAACACCGCTCGTGATTTCGGAAGTATACCACGATGTTGTGTTGGAAATGTTTTAACACGTTGATGGCATTCGAAGCACAAATCTACTGATTTATAAAATTTTATCGCATTTCGTTATTACTCTTCACAATTTTTTAGATCAACCTTTATCTGAATTAAATACTCGTACTAATATTACATACTATATATTGGTAAGTACATAATAAATCACAATAAAACCGAAATAAAATAAATCACCGTAATTATTATTATTATAATCGTCCTTCTCGTGCGTTACGCAAAATAAGATGAATGAAATAAATCGTCTACACTAATAAAAAAGTAGTCATATTATTATATTATATACATGAAGTAATTAGAAATGGTTCTAAATGTATACATTTTGAAGTATTAACGTCACAAAAACGAAAACCAACAATTAAATTAAATTTAAAGTTGATTGTCTATGGTCTATTTAAGATTTAGAGTTTATTAAAATGAAAACTACTGAATCGTTAAGAATTATTAATGACTAACTAGAGCAGATTCAATCGTATACGTTTCTGATGTGTTGTTTTTAAATATTTAATATCGGTATTGAATTAATATGTATTTTGCGAATAAAAAATATTTTTCCTGAAAATAATCTAATTAGGTATTTCTTTTTTATTTATGCTATATTTACTTCTTTAAAAAAATCATCATATCATGAATGTTTTCCATACGAAATAGTTATAATATTTCACATCTGCCAGGTTCATTAAAAATGACAAGCCTACCGCGACGATTCAGTTTTTTTTCTGATAATATTTATTAAAAACTGTTTACTTGGTGTTCTGATAATATTAATAATCAACTTAATACAGAGTCATATTTAGTGGGAGCTACAGGATGCTGTTGCGCCGGGTGGCTGATTTTTTTATATTTTCAATGTTTAATGAACTAATATTTTTGAAGTGAAACTTAATATAAAATAAAAATAAAATAAAAAGTATAAAATATAAATTATTATATATATTTATAATATAAATTATAAAATAAAAAGTGTATCTCAAAAAAATATTTATATCGCCAAACACAGTGGCACGACACACACACACAAACACACACACATACTCGGTAACGGTCGAGTACTGTCGATAGATCCAAAGATTTACAAAGAATCTATCCTTATGTTGACATTACACTTAGAATGTTTTTGTGTACACCAGCAACGAATTATTCCTCAGAAAGATCTTTTGCAACCGTAGAAATTTGTATTTGGTATAATGAAGGGTTTTTTATTGTTGCTCCTTAGGGTCGAATCCCTAAATACGGCCCCGACTTAATATTCTAGATATAATTGTTAAAATCTAATGTACGAGATGACACATAGTAGTATAATAATATCAATATAATTTTTAACACTGCCAACCGTAGACATATTAATTTAATTCATCCTACGTCGTTTTGATTTTACCCGAAAAAAATGTTATGGAAAACGGAAATGGTAATAGTGACGTGTACAGCACGCGAAATTATGTTTATCGAAATTGAAAATACACATGTTCTACCGCCAGCGGGTCGTAGCATATCGGCGGTTCGAACACGCACGCATATTTTAATAATATTATACGACGACGAAAAATTTGAGGGCGTTTTCAATAAATACCTAAACTACATATATTAACGTAATATTTTATGCATTTTATTCGTGTATTGCTTCGAATTATTTATACATTTCAAAATGCATC